AGATAAGGTGCGTCAAATAAAGGAGAATGGGGTACCAGAAGAAATATTTGTCATTCATAACAAATTAAACTTAGGATGGGCTTAATTAGTTAGAGAGGTTGCAGAAATTTTGATAAAATTATTCCAAATTAAAAATTACCACATTTTTTCTTTACTACAACGGGTGTTTATGTATGCCAAATGCACCAGCGTCAATGGTACTGTTCTGTTTTATGCTACAAGCGGAATCTACTGGAACATTGAGCGGACACTGTGGAGTGTGCATATGCTTTGTGCAAATAAAAGGACGCTGCTCTTTGGCAGTTCGTTGTTAGCTGGGAGCGATACTTCGTTAACAACAGATTCATAATTGGAGATTGACTTTGCACCACCACGGGAATGCTCCTCCCTCTTTGTTCAATCAATAAAGAGTTCATTCGCTGAAATTGAATTGGTGGTCATGCGTTACGCGAACCCCTGCAGAAATACGGCATATAGTGTTTTAGAAGGCGCTACCTCCCCTGTGATATTTGCAAACGCAAACCAGATTACCTGATAGGAATGGAGCCCTCCTTTATCGTTTTCATTTTTATAGATTAAGAATCACACGTCAAATTTCAAATTCTTAGGGTATAACTGCCATGCAACGTGTGTGACAGGCTCTTTATGGGTAATTCTTTAATTTCATTAGCTTTTATTTAAATGGCCACCCTGAAAAATTTTGACTGCGCTCTTAAAAGTTAGAAAAATAACCTCAGTTTGAAACTTGACCTAGATAGAGAAATCAATTTAAAATCGAACTTAAAATGAAAGTCACCAATAATGTGGGAAGTGCTAGAAAGCGAGACTGCCCATCGCTCAAGGTTTCAAGGGCTGCACCGTTAACACTAATTTAAAAAATCCTTGCTTTTCAATAGTTAAATGGACAGTGCGACACCAGTTCACTGAAACAAAGAGAATCTTTTTATTACCAAGAACAAAGAGTCTTGAATAATTTATAACTAAACTCGAAGAAAGCATCACTGAAAAGATAATCATAACCTATTGGTGGTGTTGTTACGAAGAAGATTTTTGGAGGAAAAACGTGAAAAATATACGGTACGTCTGGAATGTTTTACAGATATCGATTCAAAGTATATGCAAATTTAAAATTTTGACCTAACTAAATGAAGTTTATGTGCATATGTTTGGTTGCGTTTCGATTATTGTATTCTTCACGCTCTTAGAATACCCTCACATCTTCCAATAACTGTAGTTAGATTAACCTTATCTACTGCTTCTGATTTTAGGGACGTATTTTTAGATCCTAGAATGTAAAATTTCAATTTCACGAAAATTTGTAGAAAGTTGTTCTATAGAAATTTTGGTTCGAAGAAAGTGAGGTTATACAGCGAGGTTAGAGGAGTCGTTCAGCTTTCAAACACTTTTGATATGAGTTATCACATTTCATTAGTTATGTTCTCTTCATTTTGACAGATGAACCAGACATTGTTGACAATAGGACTACTTTTTACTGTAGTCTTGCTTTTCACGACATGGACAGAAGCAAAAGGAAAACATCACCGTAAGTCGAAATTTAATTTGGATACTGATTAAAGTGAAACCTCGATATAACCCGAAGTTCCGGGGGACTGGCAAAATTTGTTCGCTATAACGAGGTTTTGTTAAATCGAATTTCTTTTATTTTCATATATTTTCACCATAACTGGGGTGAAGAAAATCGTTCGTTATACCTAAAATCATGGACAAAAGTCCTTGGGACAGTCAGAACGTAACTTCAATTCTATGTCGCAAAAAGCAGTGCTGTCTTTTTACAAATTCATGTAACCTCCCCCCTCCCCACCCAATACAATGTTGAAAGATCAAAGAAATTGTGCCTTGACGGTTTCAACACTGTCCGTGGGGTGGGGGGAGAGGGTAGGGACGTACAGTGTTAGTAGCGCGCGGATACAATTTCGAGTGTTTGTTAAAAAGCGTCTGAACTGTACAACTGTCCCAAGACTTTCGTCCATGATTGTAGGACTTCTTTATACAGTAGTGGTTTGTTATATCGAGATTCCACTGTACTACACAAACAAAATAATCCCATTAAAGCAAAACAAAAGCCAAACTATTGCGGCTTTTGAAAAGCTGTTTGTAACCTTAGCTTTAATGTAACTTTGCAGTGATTTACATGATCATGTTGTGATTTACTGAATCGTGTGAACTGCGTAACCACGCCTTCTTGAGCTTCGATTAGCACTGTCAAGTAGCAATGCAAATCGCAAATAAAATGTGGTTCACCGATCACGGTTGTCATTGCTTTCGAAATGAAATTTTTGGCAATAATTACATGTCCTTCAAGTTACATTTAAATTATTTATTTTTTTCCAGGTGCTTTTGTTTGCAAAAGGTGCCTCATTGAAGCTGTTTTGAGAACCACTGCACATATTAAACTGATTCTGCGGTGTCAAAGCAAACATTTTCTAACGTCGTTTAACCATCTTGTAATGGATTTTTTTTCAGTTTCTTTGACAAAATTGTTTTTTCTTACTTAACTATTTCTATTTCCAAACATTTTTGAAAATAAGAAAACAAAACGCAGCTGAAAACAGAAACTTATTTTTATTGATAGAATTTCTTTTCCTAGTATAATCGCATACAGTTTTTTTCTACAATTACGAGACTTTTAAGATCAGGCTATTCGTAAGTTTGTGTCTCGGCTTTCTTGTAACAAAAAAATAAAATCTCAATAAACTTTGCTTCACAAAATGCCGAAGACATGGACGCTAAAAATTGGATTTGTTTAAGCCTCGTTTGCGTTACCAGTGTAAAACACTTTGTGAAAGGTTTGAACCCAGGAGTCATTTCAAAAGTAGGCTGAGTTTTGTAACTCCGTTTACTTTCCCTTGGCCTGGCGTGATCTATTTCTCCAGCAGAGATGTTTTTGATGCTAAAAGTAAAAAACTGTTTATCATTATGCATGTCTAACTTGAACTATCCTTTCTATCAATGCTAATAAGTCAAAAGAATCTTTTTTTAATACTTTGGGATAAAATAATGCAGCAGAGCAATGCGAATGAACATTACTTGCTCAGAGTATGTTCTCTAATTGTCTCTCAAAAACGTTTTAATTAAAGCAAAGGTCACAAATCTTATTCCACAACAGGGCACAAGCATCTCAAGAACTTTCTTCGACACAAGGCGGCAAAACACGAACGAGAAAAGAAAGTAGAAGAAAAACCAGAAGACATACAATTAGTGAAGTCAGGTAGATACTAATACGATATCAAAGCTCTTTTTAAAAAGTACATAGAACTACATGTATAAAATGAAATTGTAATATATTCAACATGGCAAAAGACGCTCCTCGTATATATAGGCACAAGTCTCGTGTATTAAAGATATAAGTTGCAAGGAGTAACCTAGCCTCCCATGCAGACATTCTTTTGGCTCGATCGACACGCGATCCTCCCCAAGGAACGTCGGCTGAAACGAGCGGTTAAAAACATAGACCAATCACAGCACACTTCCAGGTCTATGAAATGCACTTTGGACTTTGCGAAAGTTGGTGATAGACTCCGAAAAGTAAAAAAAAAGGTCCTCCTAAAAGGAAAAGCCTTTAAAGACTTACAATCCTGGACTAAAGTCCTTGGGACAGTAATGCAGTAATCACAATTTTCTGTAAACTTTGAGTACCCTTATTAAACAGTTTATCCTTTTCGAAATTTTGTTTCAGTTCTCCCTCTTGTCACCCTACACAATAATGAAACTCGGAAAAAAAAATTCTGGATGCACGCGTCCAACGTTGTTTGTGCGGAGGGGGGGGGGGGGGGGCTTGGCCCTTGGTAGTTTAAAAAAAGGCCCCAAAAATACAAAAGTGCCCCAAGGCCCAAGATTTTTTCCCCTGATTTGAGTACTTGTTTGGGTTTCGATTAAAGTTTCTCTCTCACCTCGTCTTTCCCTCTCAGTGGCCACTTTTCCTCTTTTTAACAAAAACCATTACTTACACCACTCATGTCGAATCGCTATACTGGCATAATAAAGTTATAAATATTTTTTTTTAATTTTTTTTCTTCTTTTTATGTTTTTTTTTTTTTTTTATTTTTTTTTTTCCTCCCCCCCCCCCCCCCACCCAAAAAAAAAAAAGAAAAAAAAAAAAAAGAGTGGGGGGGACCGGGGTGTTGGGGGGGGGGGGGGGGGGGGGGGGGGGGGGGCGTTGAGCATGTGTGAGTTAAAAAAGAGCTCCACAAATACAAAAGTGTCCCAAGAGCCAAGAGTTATGTCCATGATTGTAGATCTGTGTTTGGTTTCAGATTAAGATTTCAGCTTACCTCGTCTGTCACCTTGACAGGGCACTTATCCTGTCATTATTTTTAATTTTATTTGTACAGAAGATGACCTAAGCGGAAGTGGTCTTGACTTCGTAGCTGAACCGGAAGTGGATATGAAAGGTATAAAAATTACTTGACAAAAGTGCTGAGTCGCTGATACTCAGCCAACAGTTCAGTTTCCAATTTAAATTGGCCAAGCGTTAATAGGGAGCTTAAGCAACGGCAAAGACGACGGAGGCAGTGAAATTGCCGTCCAGTCAAACTTTATCTCGTCTATTTGGACCTTCCCAATTTGTCAACTGTAATGCGATTTCTCCTAAAGTTTAATTTTCAACGACTTTATCCAGGTTCTAAAAGGGTAAAGAAAATTCGTTATCGTAGAAGGTTTCACGTCGTAGTCGTGCAGCGGGCGTCAAAGAAATGTACTAAAAAGCATTATGTAGTTGCAGAGCTATTGCTTTGCTCCCAATTGTTTTTTGACGTTCTCGTTTTCGTCGTGGCTACTTAAGCTCCCTAATCTACGAACCTGGCCAAAAGGGTTTGGGACACTTCCTTTTCTCTCCTCTTCTGGTAGAAAATTTGAGAGTATGCGGCAATTCACAGTTACAAATACTGCTCGCTTTGCGTAAGTTTTCCCCTTGCCGTCCCCACCCCCCTCCTTAACAAAGTTGAATTTCATGCACTTCCCCAATTTTTTTAAAACTAGTGTTTATAACCTGTGACTCTCAATTTTCAATGTCCGGGGCCGGGGAAGGGGAGTTATTGAAAAGGCACAGATTACATGTACACATGACTAAGTGTCTCAAACGTTTCGACCATATTAATCATAACGGGATCTTAATTAATTTAGTTAAAAGTCATAACTTATCAGAATTAGCCTTGATTTATCAGAATATGTTGCCAAACCCACAGAAGAGAAAACGAAGGAAGAAAGAGAGAAAGCTAAAGACCATGTCGCACATATAAGACCAAAGAAAAAGAAAATTCACCATGAAGGTACTAATTTAATGTTTCCTATGCTTGATAGAAAAACAGGCACCATTTCAACCGAAAAAAGCGGATTTTTAATGGTCCTGTCGTCCTCCAGTCTGGATGTGATGATATTATTGAATAGCCAAAACGTTCGCTTCTTTACAGTTGTAGCCTGTTCAAGTAAAGGGAACCCCGATCGGCTTTTTTTAGGCCTTTTTTCTTTCGCTCGCCTGCTGACCGTTGTTCTTGATGAACACTACTTGTTCACGAGAAAAAGGGACAATTTAGGATCGATATCCTTGGTCACTACGGTTGCTTGCTCAACTTTGGCAGTATCATTTGTCAAATGACTTACATACTCTCTAATCAATTGATCTATAAACAGATGATGACGATCAAGGATCCCTCAGAGACCTTTTGGACTCAAGCATAGGTAAAAAAGACGTAAAATCATATTTTCATTGGTATTCTATCCCCCTGTACGTTCCTTTTTTAATGGAGAAAAAAGGTGAAAATTTCAACTGAATGGTCAATCTCTAGCATTTTCTCACGGATGTCTCATAGAACCACGCAACAAAGGATTATTATAGTGACTATAAACAAGGTCACAATTTAACATATTAGGTAGATTCAATTGATTACTTTATTCAGAATTTTATCCAGAGACTCAAACGTTTCATTAGAATTGTTCAGTGTACATATAATGCATAGTGCTAAAGAGGAAAGCACTGCTCAGTATCTAGTTTTCCTTTAGGAGCAAACTTCACTGTTCATAAATCGGATTAATTTATTTTTCTTAGAAAACCTCGCTAAAGCTGGCAAAGCGATTCAAGCTATTTTAGATGCTACAGGAACAAGGAGGGGTAAGATTTTTACTATAGTATTAGTGTTGCTTTTAATTGTTCGTTCAGAACAGTTCTGTGTCACACTTCAAAAATAGTAGGGTTTTATGACCAGTCTTACTCTCCAATGAGCTCTCTAAACAAGTGTGGGAAATCTGTCTCTTGTCTTTGTTTGCATGGTTCGCGAAAGTGAAATAATTCAGTGCCTTAACTTGCATACGAATTGTCAAATTCGTCCCCAAGGCTTTTTTCTTAGAAAATGGAAGGGATGACAAACGGAAAAGCCCTTGTGACGAGGATGGCGCACTGGCCGGTTGATCTCGAGTTTGTCCCCATCCACCGTTCTTGCCATCAAGGGGAACACTTTTTCTCTTCACCTTTTGGTTTGTTTATATTTTCTTTTAAATAAACAAAGTAATTATTTTATAAAACAAATCGGAGTCTTAATCTAAGAACTGATTTAAGATTTTGACCATTTGAATCCAAGTTAGTCAAACCTGCGCTGGTTCCTGCCCAGATGTCTGTGCTCCAGGCTGCCAATCAACATGCTGCAACACTCCACCATCTAGTCCCATGTCTCAGGTAGCAGGTCAAGTCCCCTATCCTTCCTCTTACCAACAACAGTCACCTTACGGATACCCGCAACAGCAACAGTACCCTCAGATGCCACAGCCACAGTATCTTCCAATGCCACAGATGGCCCAACCACAGCAGCTAGCCCCATACCCTCAGCAACCTAGAGCTGGACAATGTCCTCAGCAATGTTCTGCAGCACCTTGTCCCAGCGCCTGTCCTTCGACTTGCTGCAGTTCACAGCCCCAGTACCAACCACAGGCTGCAGGCGGCATGATGAGTGCACCGCAGTACCTTGAATTACCTCCAGCCACACCTAAACCAAATATCACGCAGTCTTCAAGCTGCGCCTCGCCGTGCTCACAGTCATGCGCTCCTGCTTGTCAACCAAGTTGCTGTTCTGGATCAATGGGCATGCCCATGGGAATGCCGTTTCCACAGCAACAACCTATGATGCCTGTTATGCCCCAGATGCCCCCAACGCCTCCGATGCAACAACAGCGAGCATGTCCACAAGCCTGTCAACCAGCTGCACCTGGTGGATGTGCACCACAGGCTCAATGCCCCCAGCGCTGCTGTCAAAACAGACGAAGATAAACCACAGTAAACAATAAACATGACTACCATATTAGCGACGTCTCTGAAAACAAAATTGTTTTTTTATCACCTTAACTGTTACATGTTCCACGTCGATCAAACATTTTCTATTGCCATGTTTATTCATGTAGAGTCTAAAATACTCACTATATAAAATATACCATACGTCAAGTTTGAAATTACTCCTACCTTAAACGGGTGTAAAGAAACTACGAAATGAGAATTTTCACTTTCTAAAATCGCACGATTTGAGCCACTAAATAGCTATTAACTTAGGACAAAACGTTAAAACAATGAGCATTTGTGAAAATCGCAAAATACTGAAGCAAATAGTGGTAATAAGTTAATAAAAGACATAAGTTCTTGGATCAAATACTCATCAAATTGTTTAGTTCAAAATAAGTTTTGTCTGTTTGTATCTTTTCATCATTATCTTTATTTATTCATCATAATCATGTATAGCTAGCAAAGTGGTTTCGTTGATTTAGTGTTCCATATATTTGAAATAGTATATGAGCATTACATTCCACACTTGAAATGAAAATTTCATTATCGTCAGTTATCGAACAATGATCAAAGAATTGAAAGTAGAAATATGTATAGGAGACAACAAACTGATAACTTTGTTTTTCAATAAAAAAAAATAGTTTTCCCTCTATTTTTTTAATTTTGTTTTGTGAATATGGCAACTCCTAATGCGAGCTGTACAAGGGTCTTTTAAGCCCGAGAGGAGGAATTCCCAGAACGTTCCACACTGATCTCCATCTTCGCCCCATGTAAGGGAATCCAGATTCCGGACACCGGGAAATTTTTGGTTGGTGCCGGCATCCAGGACAATTTTGCTCGTGGAATCCGGAATCGTGGGCTTTGGAATCCGAAATACCTGTCAATCAATCCGTAAACCCACTAACGATTGGAATCTTGTACCTGGAATCCGAAATTCAAAGCGTGGAATCCAGAATCCCAGACTGTCTTGCATTCCCTTACATGGGGTGATCCATCCACTTCCTTAAAGAATTAATTGAGAGAAATTTTGATTAAAATACCAAAATATTTTCCCAGTGTAATTCTCCTGTAAGCCTTTCTCGTATAACCAGCGATCATGCCCTCCCTATATCTCTATATGATGGCGGATTACATGACGTATGGAGAGAGTAAAGAGAAAATAGATGTTAATCACTCTTTCAACGAATAAAGATATGGCGACAGGTTGAAAAAATAATTCTGCACAGTTGTAGCGTCCCACGCAGACGTTCTTAGGGGTTCGTCACGCGCGTTCCTGCCCCACGAACGTCTGCTGAACTGAAAAATAAATTCCTTTCCCACTGTTCGCAAATATAGGCTGGAGATCACATGCAGATTATCGAAGATCCAATCGGCGGTGTTGAAGTCAAAGTGTTGACAAGCCAAACACATACGTACAAGTTCCGCAGAGTGTAGTACGTGACCAAAGATTTTTTGCTCCTGGCAAGATTATAGGAGATAAGCGTTGGCTTTTTGTATATTTCTCTCTCTGTAAAGGCTGGATTAGATGTCATTTGCTCGTAAAGTTGTTCTTTGGGTGACGCAACGGCGGGGTTACCTTGTAAGACTGAACAAAAGGAAGAATTTTTTTCACACGTTATTGTTTGGTAGTAAAGGCGACTTCCGTTCAGCAAATTTAACCTCCGAGGTAATATTTTTCAACGAGATTCTGAGAAACCATTAGGTAGCCATTAGTACGAACGCTTGTGAGTTAACTGAGTAGTTTGTTCTAAAACTGTAAGGTCTTCACCTTTCATGAGACCTTTCTGATCTTTTCTGGAGCTATAAAGTCAAGCGCGAAATTTCTCAAGGTCCAAAGTGCATTTCCCAGATCTGGAAGTCTACTGTGATTGGTCTACGTTTTTTTCCGCTCAAGTCCGCAGACGTTCGTGGGGCAGGAACACGTGTCCAACCCCTAAGAACGTCTGCGTGGGAGGCTAGCACAGTTGAACTCTTTAGTGTTTAGCAAATGCAAGCTACGAGTTCCGATGAATCAATTTCATCGACAATTCTACCTATTTGTCACAATGCATTAATCTCTATTGAAAGGCACTCGATTGGGTGAAACCTGCTTAAATTAGTACATTAACTAACTGGTGTACTGACCGTCCGTTATTGACAAAAGACTGGCCAACAGAACTAACACACTTGTTGGTTTCATGGCCGACAGTCTAACTAAATAACAGAGTGGATATCTGTCTGTCTAATTGACTCACTAGCCCATTAGCGGACTGACCTACCGACGAACGTATCAATCTACTCACCACCTGACTGTCTGACTGACTGATTGATTGACTGACTGACTGACTTACTTACTGACTGACGGACGACTTACTGATTGACTGACTGACTGACTGACTGACTGGCTAATTGCTAGCCGACAGATCAAACAACCTGGTCCAACTGACTGGCCGTCCGACAGCTGACTTTATAACTTACTGACTTGCTCACTGAATGACAATGTTAAACAAAGCGACTGACCGAGCGACCGAACGACCGATCGACTGACGCACTACAATAGTTTTTTAAAAATAACAGCAGTAGTAAATATGGAGGTTGGAAATCGTTTAACGTACGCCCTGTCTCCCTTTGAGATAACCTTTCCCAGAAATTTAATGTATTTCATTTATTTCAATACCGTAAAATCCCGAAAATAAGCCCCGGGGCTTATATGTTTCAAAGGCCCTTTTTGAGGGGCTTATTTTTGGAGGGGCTTATATTCGGAGTGGCTTATCTATGGAGGGAAATTTGCGTCTCAAAATCGTTTGGTCTAGCCTTATAGTTGGAAGGAAATTTACCGTCTTCGCTTTGTTTTACTTTGTATTTGAGGGCAATTTTCCAAGTACAAGCCCCCGGGGGGCTTATATTTGGAGGGGCGATTTAACGGAGGTTTTTTTTGCGTTACGAGTTTGGGGGGCTTATATTTCGAGGGGCTTATACATGGAGGGGCATATATTCGGAATTTTACAGTCACCCTATGTGACTGCTATTAAGAACAACAATATTTGCTATTGATATTGTTATTATTGTATTGTAACTTGTTATGATTTTGCAAATAAAACGTGTTGTTACTGTTGTTGCCATTGCCATTAACCTCGAATCCATGCAATCACGCTCGACCCAGCTTTTACTCTGACAAAAGTAATTGATGTTAGTCACGTGGTTAATTCGATAACACTTCTATCATAAAAACACCAGTTCTAATCGACAGGTATCAATCTCGCGTTTTTTGGCCGGACCTTTCAGCGTTTATTTTGACGAACGGTCCTCTCGACGTCAAGAGATTATACAGTTTTGGCCCCTCTTTTTTTATTTTAGATATGTTTCTTTCTCGATGTCCAAGTATCCACTTGGACATGATTCGCGAAGCTAGAAAGGAAATTTTGAGGGCTTGAAACTAAGTCTCTCCACATAAACGAAACCTTGGCTTACAAAAGACTAAATAAAAAAATCTTCATTGCTGTTTTTAAAAGACATCCTCGGAGAGATTTTGATCGCAGAACAAGTAAAAGATCACGCCTGTGTTCGATAAATTACCTTATCGAGAATGACTCACAACATCAGTGCGCATGCGTTGTTTACTAAGACCGGAGCAAGGTTAGGAACAAGTACCAGCCGAAAGAGTTAATAATTCAGCGAATAAGGGACATTTTTCGCTAGTGAGATTTCTTTAACAGCCCTCTCCTCTTTGCTGCTCGAGACCAAAAGAGGAAGGTATTGTATATCACTATAGATGCCTTTATTTTTTGTATGTATTAATTTGACGAACGAGGTATACCATCTTATGAAGCCATGGGGTCTGATATAATGAGACAAAGAAGCAAACGGTTAAGTGATCCGTCACATAAATATTCGTATAAATGAAAATATAACGTTGAAAACCTCGTTTAGCAGACTTCATAGTATTGAAAAAACCTTGTTCGGTCTTTTTCTCCCTACAAGGAAACTGCAGATGAATGAACTGAAATCTTCGCGTAAAGTGTTCTTAGGTTGTAACTTTTATCTTAAGTCTAGTAAGTGAGAACATCAACTAGCTATGACCTGTTGCATATTGCGAGTTTATTTTTAATATGACTATGCCTCTGTATCTTCTAACTATTTCAATCTTAGAAAGTTTGTCTTGAAGTCTGTAGTAATAACAAGGGAATATTTTTTCATTTAAACCTGCGTAAATAATGGTTAACTGAATGTTATCGTTGTGAATTCTTTTTATTCTCAATACCTGCTTACATGAAACAATAGCTACACAGTGAAGAGAAGATACAGATGATCACCTTGGAGATCTTAGGGATATACAGCATTTTTCCATTACGTTTGATTTTAATAATTTCTTATGACAATTTTTCCTTATTTACCCCAGGGTAAGAAATATGCAATTTAAATACACGAGCTGCGCGCTTTTAGTCGTGCTCCTCTGCATTTCATTCACAAGCCATCTTGTACGAGCAAGAAGTTTAAAAGGTGGGTGTTTATTATTAAGGCTATTTTCACACTATACGGTATATATAGTATGAAGACCTATCCGATATGTGACGCTCCACTTTCGAGTTCAAGGCGACGCAGCCTCGCTTCGTTACCGAATCGCGCCGAAATCAGCATTCTTATGTGTCCGGCATTCTCATGCCCTGTCCGGTATGGTTTTCATTCCAGAGCAGAAGCTTTCTGGTATAGAGTGAACATTTCCTGAGGGTTGCGCAATTAGCACCGTCTAAGAATTTGAACTTTAATCAAAGGAGTGATTAACTTTTTATCATGGCAAACGCTATCATCTTCGTAGAAATTTTCCTTACCTATAGAAGCACATAACCTTGTACCACTTGTGTATCATCTAATCGCAACAGCTTTAAAAGTGTTACGCGAGTCATATTTTTGCCGTGTAACCTGAATTATGTCTAAAACACGTCATTAAAAACTTTTCAGCAAACTACAAAAAATGGTGGTGCTAAATATCTAACTCCAAAAAAATTTGGGAATTTTTCTAACATAGTTTTTTTTTTCCTTGGGTAGATTTAGCAAGTATTTCAAAAGGTAAGATTATTTTGTTTTCTGCTTTTCAAATACAAATAATAGTAAGAAAGTGAAAAATAAAATATGATCAAACCAATGGGAGTAACAAAATCAAAGTTAACGACAGTAATCGCTAGAGATGATAAGGTTGATTCCCAGGAGATAATAGACGAAGTTTTATACGTTGCTCTTACCGAAGGTCCAATCCTCCTACCCTGTTATAAACCCTATTTAGATTTTCACTGAAAGGTACTCCGTACACCCTCCAATGGAAAATGGTATCCCTTTCCTACTTTGTGTGAAAATACCGAGTCATTTTCAACTTATATACAGCCATGAGAGGCCTCTTTTCGAAATATTTTAGTTCAAGGAAAGAGGGGTTATAACGTGCAGCACTTCTCCATCAGCCCAAATTAGGAGCTTATCACGTGAATACTATAGAGAGGTATAAAAGAGTAGGCTTTTGCAGATTATAAGGAGCCCATAACCCGGAGGGGGTACCTCCCTTGTGTCCAGGCAACGGCGTTTTTACTGACCAGTTTATTTTGAGATCGATTTTCCCGCAAATTTTAAATATCAAAAAAGTCTTACAAATCAGTCATAAAAAACTGGAGACTAGATAAAAGCATTTTCTGCTGTTTTGATAGCATTTACTTCCTCTTTTTGAAATTACCGTAGTATGGATGCGCACGCATACGGAACGGTGCTTCCATTTTCGCAGGAAAAAGTGCTCAAAATAACCTAATCTGTGAAAACGCTGTTGCGTGGGCGAAGTATCCGTCACGTCAGAAACGAGACAGAAAATGGGCCGTATAACTTTCGCAAAGACTTCTAGTACTGTTACTGGAGACAGGAAAATTAAATAGCCCATGATCGATATATTAAAATTCTGACTTTCTAGTCATTTTTCTATATTTGGTTTGGTTTTCTTTGTGCTCAAGTCTCTTCTGGGAAATGCGAAACAACAGAGTCGTGAAAGAAAGACAACTTGGCCTAGTTTCCTTGTCGACTTTTTTAAAGTACCAATGGGAGCTGCACGATTCGTAGGTGGGGGGGGGGGGGGGGGGTTTGGGCCCCCACCCAATAACACCTTTTTTTTTTTTTTTTTTTAAAAAAAAAAAAGGACCAAAAATAAAAGATGGAAACCGCCAGGACAACCACGACTTAAACAAGCGAGGATTCAGTTAACACAACGAAAACAACCTGTAAAAAGAATAATGCAGCCAGCGAGGTTTGTGGAAAGAAAATATTAAGAATTTCGTGCGTATTGACGTTGTGGAAAAAAAAAACAAAAGAGAGAGAAGAAAAAAATTCTTTGCTGTGTTTGTGTTTTGTTGTATTTTAGAAGAAGGGTGGGGGTGGGTGGGGGGGGGGGGGGGGGGGGGGGGGGGGGGGGTGTATGGGCTCCTACCCAAGTACACCTGTATTTTTTCTTTTCTTTAGAAGAAGATAATGACCTAGAATCAAAAGATGAGATAGACAGCGACAGCACTGACTTAACAGACGATGATTCAGATGAAGCTACAGATACAGCCGTTGATACAGATGATGCAGACAGCGAGGATTCTGGTAAGACAATATTCAGAATGCACCGTGTGATTCTTTTACTTCCCTTTCGCGCCATATAGGGAAATACAAGACAGTCTACTTATTGGATCTCGGATTCCAAGCCGTGGATTCCGGATTCCAGCCAAGTACAGATCTTTGTCAGCGGAACTTGGATTCCATTCGTTACTGGAATTCCGGATTCCTAAAGCAGCATTCTGGAGCCAAAACCTTGCATTCCGTATTTCAAAAGCAAAAATTTCCAAGATTCCGGAATCCAGATTCCAGTAAATGGAGCGATCAGTTTTCTTTCACGGTATCACGGAGAACTTCACAACTTTTGGAAAAAACATTTTTGCATTTCCCTTTTAGGCTGCTGAATGCTTTTGCTAAGTTGATTTGTTAATATTTTTGCTCCTTTTTATTGCAGGGAGTAATATAGAGGCTACAAAGAGGGGAAAGCTTGCCAAAGATTACTACTTCGAAGGTATGTAAACTGGACAAAAAATTAGATTTATATAAAATCTGCTCGGGACAAATATAAGGCAAAAAAGTGCAAGTTAGGAGGAAGCTAGGGGTATATGGTAAATCGAGTTGGTAAATACCGCATTTTTCCCTAATTTAGAGCCTCGAGTTAACCAACAAGCTTTTAAGGTGGCTCATAATGGCGCGGTAGCATTTTCACCATTTCTATTTTGATCGATCAACTTTTTCAATTGATGCTACAGTAATAGCAGCAAATAAATGCAGTTTCTGGTGAATACATCAGCACCATTTTTATATAAAAAGTTACTATAGCAAAGAAGTAGCCTTTTTATCTCGCCCCTGCATCTTAGTGAGGAAGTTCGTCCCTCAACTTTTTTCTCACAGAATTGAAACCAACATGTCAAGGTTTAGTAGTTTAATTTCACCACACGCTGTTTAAACTTGATCTAGTTAAGTGTTCATTTCATTCGAGGCGTGCTGACATTGCTCCACCGAGGCCCACGTGTTCATCGTCTTCATCCGATTGCGAGCCATTTTCTCTCAGCCTTTTGCTCGGATTCTTGTCTGCTTTGTCCTTTCCCATTTTTGGTTATATCAGTTTATAGGCTTCCATGACAGGTACGTTAAAAAACGTTTAGAACAGCATGTTTGGAGGAGCTCGCAGAACCTCGTCCTACCTGTACGAGGCCCACTGTGACTGTTCATAATGAGAAGATTTCTACGGAGTGGGTCCACAGCCCCTTACATTTTCGAACAATTTTAATAATCAGATGAAGCTGCATCCGGAAGTGGAGGCGAAAGCGGAAGTGGAGAAGAAGCAGCAAAACCACCACCAGGTAAGTCGCTTAGATTGTTCTCCAGTTGCCATGTAGTCAGCCTGCGAGCAAGCTCTCAGTCAGGAGACGTTGTAAAAAGTCACTCCTCAGTGGCACGCAAAGGGCATTCGAGAACAAGGGTCGGGGGATAGAGTCCTTTGCTCAGTCTTGTCTTGTCTTGAACAGTCTTGTCTCGTCGCTTCGCTCGCCACTAAAATAATGATATTACAATGAATATTTTGGCTGTAGAGCATAAGGCTTTGAGGGCAGCACATGTTAATGAAAACGTCCGTCAAACCACAATGGCTGATGACAAACTATTCCTTGAATGGAAAAAAATTGCCTTGTAGCTATCATATACCACGCAGCCAAGACTGATGCCGAACTGATTTCTAATGTTTTTGTATTAGTGAAAGTGAATTTCAAAGAAGACGTTTCTCTTAATATTCAAATTTCGAGAAATAAATTTTGCTATTTAGTGATTTTTATGCATTTTATTTATTTATTCATAATGTTGTCGTTTCTTATTCAGCTGAGCCTCTGTGTAAGCCACCTTGTGTCCTTCGGCCAGGCCCGGAGCACTGGGTACCACGTCCTCGATACGAACCTGGCCCTGCCATCCCCCCTCCCCCTCTTGAGCCACCCCCACCCCCTCCTCCCTGCCCTCCAATGTGCATGCAAACATGCGCTCCTACATGTGATCCAAGCTGCTGCCAAGCCCCAATGGCCTTACCTCCTCCCCCACCGGTTGAAGCTTGCCAACCATCATGTGCACCAACCTGCTGCCCGCCACCACCACCCCCCCCAGTTCAAACTTGTCATCCATCATGTGCACCCACCTGTTGTCCAGAACCACCACCTCCTCCCCCTCCACCTAGCTGCTGCCAAGCCCCAATGGCCTTACCTCCTCCCCCACCGGTTGAAGCTTGCCAACCATCATGTGCACCAACCTGCTGCCCGCCACCACCACCCCCCCCAGTTCAAACTTGTCAACCATCATGTGCACCCACCTGTTGTCCAGAACCACCACCTCCTCCCCCTCCACCTCCGCCTCCGCCTCCTCCCCCTCCCCCACCGCCTATGATTTGTCCTCCTACGTGTGCCCCTCCAACGTGCGCTCAGAACTGCCCTCCAATTTGCTGCAAGCGAGGAGATTAGATGAACGTTTAAGAATTCCATCAATTAAACAAGCAAGCAGGTCACGATGAAAGATATGGAGCAAGATGAAGCAAAAGTTGAATTCTTTTTATCTGATTTAACGGTCTGCAAAAGGACATTTCTGTACATACGGTTTAAACAGCTATTGCTTGGTATCCGAGATGGTCTTCCAACGATGTAATTATTACATTGTTTATTTCAATAAAGTGCTGTAGGTTACTGAATTTTGTGGTCTTAAAAAAAGATTGAACCTCACAACCCTTAGTACACCATAGGGTAATGCCCGGGGGGGTTACTTGTGTTAATTTTTGCTGAGTGTGTGCCGCTGGCCTCTCAGAACCCCTACACTATTATAGTCTATTTTGTGGCCATATGATAGACCCCATCCCATAGATCCCACTTTGGGAAAAAAGTAATTTTCACAATCCTCAATTAGCCACTTTCTGATTATGCATCTACCTTATAAAGCCTTTTAACTTGGTCATCCTGAAATGAACTGACACATTTGTAAAACTTCATGTTAATGAGGTGTAAATCTTTCTATTTTTAAATCCCAACATACCTGAATTTTCTCACCCCCAAAATCCTGAAAATGTGCGACCACATTCTAGTAACTCATAAAAAGATGCAACCCCACAATATTCAATCCAGTTGTGAAAATGCGACCCCATCCAGCGGCACATATTCATTGGCTACTACTAGAAAGTCCTCCTCCCAAAGGGTAATGCCCTTGGCCGGGCTACTGAAAATGGTTCATTTCTGCCATCCTGCACTGCTTGCCGTACCTGATCCTCACAAGCTGAGGGAAAAACCTTGAGGATAAGATGGACGAACCCAACAAAAAAACTTTAAATGTAGTCGATTAATAATATCATAGGTGGTGTTTGAATCATATGAAAACCTCTGTAAACCCCAATACAAGTCAACTGGGTCTAGAGTTAATTTTTGATACAAACGCCTGTTCACCTTATTTTAGTATTATTTTTAAACTATAAGTTTTTAAACAGCTCTCTGCTGATCATTTCTTTGGACCATTTCACAATTGCGTCTGATCTGTATGGGTGGCTCGCCTTCATTGTAATCGCCCATACAGATCTGTAGGTCGTATTTTATCTAGTACATAAACTTTGCATTGCTAATAATCCAACGCATGATATTCACTTGGACCATGTAGTTCCGATATTTCCGACACTGAGATCGCACCTAAGGTGCTGTATTTTCCCGTGAGCTGCTGTTGTTAGGTTACGGAGTTTCCATCGCCTCCCTTTCAATACAAACATCAAAATGAGGATAATTTACATACAAATATTTAGACATCTAAGACATCCTGGATTTTCAAATTGTTTATCTCGTGATTGCCCAGGAGGAAAAATATTTCCTGTAGCAGAAGGCGTTTTCCAAGTTTTTGAAAATTTGATGGGAAGTGGCCTTGCAAGAGATCTGTGGCATCAATAAACATGGCCGCCGTCCAATCTATGGAAACTTCAGATTCATTGAAATATTGTTGAATTTTGCAAGCTCGTGGGTTAAGTTATCCTACAATCGTAACTTAATTTGCTGCCTTGCCTCTGAACAAGCTAGATATTTTTTTGGAAAATAAAACGAAAAACCTCGTTTTTCCCATGTCAGTTACGACGTCATATCATAATGATCATTATCATAATCATCATATATCATAATCGTCATATCATATCTAAGGCATAAATGAACAGCCACAAAAATGAAGAGATTCTGGCTTAAAATCACTCGTGTCTTAAAATCAAACATCTAGCCTGCACCACAGACGAAACTAAACTTTGGGTTAAGTCTGTCTGCGAAACAGTACCGAAATTCTTGTTCTGGGCTCCCGCCTGTGCACCAGGATTTGAGTACGCGCCATGATTGGACTGTTGAAAAAGCCATTGTCGATTTGCCAATCACGTTGAGAGGAAATTCGAAACGCATTTCCGGTAATTCCTTGAGTCGGTTGGGGGCCGAGAACAAGCATCTCGGCGTTGCTTCGCAGACGTTACTAACGGGAGTTAGATCACGTCTGCTACGCAGGCTAGCAAACATCTAACAACAGCCTTTGTGAGTGGTAAACACCCGCCTACACTTCCCTGAATCAGTCTGAGTTAAACTGTTAAAGGCGAGGTTTAAGCGACAGTTTGTTCAAATCAATGACCCCGAAAGCCGTGAATTTTTACCAGTATTTGCGAATGTTTGGATAAGGTTTTCATTACTCTTGTCTTAGATTCTACTGTTTTTATTTTCGTTCAGCGTTTCGTCGCCAAAAGAAACGTCGTTCGGAAAATGAAAATGCCTTTTCTTGTCTCGGTCTCGTATGTTGCTCTCTTGAACATCAATTGCACAGAGTTCTAAGAGCTCGTCTTCATGGTTTTCTTCAGTGTGTCTACCATTTTGTTATTCTATATCTTTTAATTAAGTAAACAAGGCTAATCAGGGTAGTAACAACATAGTAATCTCTTAACTTCTGTTTAATATATTTAGATGGACCATAAACAGCTGCATATCAAGTACAATTTTAAACCGAACTGATTCCTCATCTTCATTCTGCCGGAATCCTTTCCGAAGCTCTTTGAAAGTCCTTTAAGATAGAAGAAACCAAGTGTCTCTTACGGGGAGACTGTACGTCTACTGACCATCGTGTTCTTACTTCTGTAGCTGCAGGATTAAAGCGTCAAATTAATTCTACCGCTTCTTTCGGCCGCGGCCGAGGTGACTTTGGTAAGCTTTTATCGTACATAACATTCCAAACGTTGTTGGCGATGTGCTCCACTCTTTTGCACTTCGTCTTTGTCCTTTTTACAGAAACAGCTTCTTCCCACTAGAAACAAATGTTCATGAAGTTTTATTCTCACGCGTTTGACCTATCTTTGCGCGGCTTTGCATTGTATTAAGCTTCAAGTTTTAAAGATAAAACAAGAATTTTACTGAGGTTTATTGCAAATTTTCCTCTCTCTTAAAAGTTGCTCCACGCGACTTTTGGGTCTCAGAGGTACTATTTCAAATCAAATGAAGGTTGTGTGAGCAGAAACTGTTATTGGGACATATTCTTTTTTGGCGAACAAACCTCTCCTAGCTCCGATTATAGCAAGGTGAGCACACGAATTAAGCTTCTATAGTAAAAACTTAGAATCTGAATCGGATTACGCTCAAAAGTTAATTTTCGAACAACTTCTTTGCCTTCTCTTTAATCGTCGTGAACGGAAATTGACAAGTTAGCTGCAATTTGTAGCTATTTTGTTATCAAACATTTATGTAAACAGATAAACAACCCGCCACTTTCTGTGATAAACTATTCAAGTAACCTTTAGGATTCAACTTCAACAATCACCGTTTTACTAGAAGTGTCGTAATGCATTTCAAAGTCAATGATGCGTGACGTTGTTTCTCTGCAAGCTTAGCTGTACGAGGAAACGAAAAAAATAACTGGTAAGTTTGGGGGATTTTTGTTTTATATTCTAAATGAGTATCTGAGGCGTGATTTTTGATTTTCGTTTCTTTTTCGTCTCTTGACACCACAAAGGAGTGCTAGTGACCATATTTGGTACCTGTAAATTTCTCACTTGTAAGGTGAACTTGGCGCATTTTTTTTTGTTCGCTTCAGATGTTCTCAAAGATCGACAAGATGACCCGGCTTTGGCTTGCTTCAGCGATTTTGCTGTGCTTTGCGGTCACGCTTCTGAAGTCTGAAAAGTTAAACAATCGTGAATCAGGTACGTGAAATAAGTAATTTATTAACCTTGAAACAAGTCATTCCATGCCATAAACTTCACCCTAAAATATTCACTTTTTAGTCCAATTATTTCATAATGTCATTGCTATCGAGATTTTGGCCATTTCTCTAAGGAATTATTTTAAATACAAAAATATATGGAGTATAACTAAGCAAAAAATTGTCAACTTTCAAGGTAGTGCTACAGTAAAAAATACAATAATTCAGTGACTTGCGATGTGTCCCAGAATAGATCTCTAAAAAGTGGCGACCACAAAGTCCTTGACTGAAAAAAATGCAGTCTCGTTGACGGGAAACAATCATGACAGAATCCTTGATATTTGTTAGTTGTCCTATCTATCTTACAGTAGTTTGTAGTTTAATGGCAACTGATAAGAGCTCACACTTACCGGACTTAGGGCAGGTTAAGGGTATGGGAAATGTTAGCAATCAATAGCACTGACACCTGTTGGACGTAGAGGTCGAGATCAAGAAGCCAGTATCCAAAGCGACAGGAGCGTTGTTGATTCTCCGGGTAGTGATCGTATAAATTTACTGAGCGGTATAGTGGTTTTCAGTGATTCATTTATACGGGACCTTAAGTTTGGACTAGGAGTACATTTGAGTATGAGTATTATTGGTGGGTTAATTTTATTTCTTGAGCCGGTGAAAAACAGGAGAGAGAGAGAGATTCTCTCGGACAAGGCAACGCATTTAAAAAAAAAACGAAAGAAGCCCTTCATAGTTTCCTGTCCATGGTTGTTCATTAACTGTTGAATAACTTTAATTTATAACTATCCAGCGGATGTTTACCACTAAGGGCTTGTTTACATGGAGGTGTGGGACCCCTGGTAGGTCAGGTCACCCGCTTAGGTGGGGTAAGCGGGCCCTAAGAAGAGATTAATCTGGCAAATACTAATATTCACCCTCTTGAACAAATGAGGCTTACAAGTACCTAAAGCCAAAAATAAATAACACGGTCGTATGAAAGTGTATCTGGTGGATAGCATTTACTTAAATGGTCACTGTATTTTGTCGTTAATGTATCCTGATCTTTGCGTCCAATTCGTCTAATTCACACAATATTTTGTTCAGTTTCTTTTCAAAACACATCGCAACAAATCGTGTCACATGATTTACACCACAAGGCCAAGTATCTAGGGTAGAAACTGTTTGAATTGCAGTAAATCCTCTATTAAGCCCAGCCCCCCCCCTCTTTCAAATAAGTCCCCCATTTTCAGGGGACGAATTGAAAGTTAATAAGCCCTCCTCTTTTAGCTGAGATTATAATACGTTACCACATGAAGCAGCTTGTACGATTACCAATTAAAAGAAGTTACGTTTAAATTTTTCTAACTGCGATTGCAAGGCAATACATAAAAGGGGAGAAAAGACAATCAGGTAAAGAACAAATCTGGTATAAATAATGCACCTATCAATGTAGACCCCGTGGGGGGGGGGGGGGGGCCCGGGCAAGGGGTGGGGTTTTAAAAAATTTTAAATTTTTTGGATCAATTTCCCGAGGGGGGGAAACGAAAGCTGAATAAAAAGGGACAAAAACCCCCCAAGACAGAAAATACACAATTAGAACCTCAATACACATAGCTAACTCGATTGCATTCCTGCGTTTCTAAAAAAAAAATAGAACGACTCAGCATTAGTGCTCTGTGGCTACTTTCTTTTGTTTTTAATGCGAAGGCCGTCTCAAGAGTTCTATCTTTTACCCTGCTCCGTGTTTTTACGGCCCGGAAAGGACAGGGTTTTAATTATCGCCTGCTAAGGTGAGCCCCGGGGGGGGGGGGGGGGAGTGCGGGCAAGGGGTGGGGATTTGACAAATTTTAAAATTTTTTGATCAAATTCCCCAGGGTGGGAAACGAAAGGTCAATCAAAAGGGTCAAAAAGCCCCCACCCCAGGGGAAAAAATCTAAACAAACAATACTAAGATACTGTATAAAACGAATTAAAAGAACATTTCAAAAGTACGTCCTTACTAAACGTAAGCTCCGTTAAATTACTCGCTGTAATTAAGTATTTTCTCTTTCCACTAGCATCTCTTATTTTGAACAACAAAATCACTCTAGGAAGATTGACCGTGCTATTATAATATTAAGTAATGATCCGGGTAAGGTGGATAGCAATTTCTTTTGGTTATGCGGCAACGGTCCTTTCCCCACATAGGAATGTTCTCATTTTTACACAGAGAATGCATAAACCTACATGAAGGCCGTTTACGCAATAAAATGCAATTACACTCCACTTTGAAAAAGTGTTTTTTTGTGTTAAACGATTTTGACCAATCACAAGAGTTGAAAACAATAGCCAAGAAATATTTACAATTTTACATGTTCCCCCCATAGAATTTCTTTGTTATTCAAACTGAGAGCAGATTTTGTTATATGGAAGATGGTTGGAAAGTAAGGAGGAATATATGCACGGCTTTATGAAGTTTTGTTAACTTTTGCAGTTTAAGCCAATCAGAAGTAAGTACAGACAATAGAAAAGTTAGCACCTTTTTTGCATTCCAACATGTTTGTTGCCATTCTTGCTATCGTCCTTATCTGGACCGTTTCTTAATGAAACGTAAAATGCTTTATAACATCTGCACAACATGTCGGAACAGGTCGGATCAGTGACCCGTAAAAAATCCTCTGACTTTCATGGTGGAATTCGATTTCAATCAAGTTTTACAATCAGATGGGAACTTGAAGATAAAAACTTTCACAAAATAGACATTATCTGTTTAGATGACAGTTTAAAGTATCGGATTATGGCGATTAAAACAAATGGAAATTTCACACCTTTCTCCAACAGCGTGACTTTCAGAAAGCTAAATTGATACCGGGCCTCTGTCGGTCAAAGTCAAAAGTCCCGACCCCGGGGTCGCTTCGCACGATCGAAAGCCCGAAAGGGGGATAGTCTCAGGCATCAAATCCCCGCCCCTTGCCCGCACTCCCCCCCACCCCCTCCCCTGCCACGGGATTTATATTGATAAGTGCATAACAATCACCAAAATTATAATAAAAAACAGCACTGAAATTAACTCTGGAAGTTTTATTTAATTGACATCATCTTGAAAATGGTCTGTTGAAAACCACTTAAGGTGGCTGGACTGGATTTTTTGGGGAGTATACCTCCCCACTTTGAGTGTTTTTTACGTCAGTATTAACAAAGATAGCGCAAAAACGTTACCACAGCTGCACTATATAAAGACGAAAATTTGTTATAATCCATGTTTTATTGACATCATAGTTACTATGGCAACATAATGACGCCATTACGTTTTTCACTTGCATTTGTATTTCTCAGTACTAGGAGTTTTTTTTTTTCAGAAATCGCTTGTACCTCCCTTAGTTGCCTCGGTTGTGGCAAAAATTGAACAAATTCTATGATAGCGTTTTGGAAATTAAAAACAACTGTAAGCAGATACAGCTGGTCAGCACAGGAAATCGTAAGCTAAGAAGTTAAACGTGAAGTTGCTTACCTGGTGACTGCTTAAAAGGGTCATGTTGCCATGGTAAGAAAATTTCTAGTTCTCAACAAACAGTATTCCGGCATTTATGGCAGAAAAAAAACGAAAAACTTTACGTCTATTGCTCGACAATGCATTTGGCCGCCTCTGTCAAGAAATATTATTGAGAATCAGAAATTTGCTTCCATGGTAACGTCACATTTCTCCTCTCTATTGGGCATCTATTAACAAAGTGGCACTTTTAAATTTGTAAGCGCTATTTCATTTACTTAGGAAAGTTCAGCAGGAGTGCGCCAGTTCTGCAGCAAATTTCTCGAGTGGAGGATGCAAGAAGCCACATCGCAAAACCAGAAAAGGAGGAAGACGGAACTAAAGACGTCAAGAGTGATGACAAAAAGATGGAACAAAAAGCCATCAAAGATGATAAATCTGATTCTCAAAAGGATGAAAAGAAACAGAGCCGTAAGGAACAAGAAATAATAAAAAAGATCGAAAAAAGTGCCAACGAAGACGACAAATCTAATAACCAAAAGAATGAAAAGAAGCAGGACAATGAAAAGAAACAGAGCCGTAAAGAGCAAGAAATAATAAAAAAGATAGAGGATGATGTGAAACAAATAACAGAAGATAAAACGAAGAAAGAAGATGAGAAAAAGCAAGGAGATGAAAAGAAGATTGAGGACGCTATAAGAAAGGAAGACGAAAAGCAGAAAGAAAAGCCTAAGGGTGATGATACATAGTGAATAACAATGACGTAGTCAATGACACATTTAATTAGCCAGTAAGCACAGTCAGTCGGCTATCGCAGGGGCGGATCCAGGAATTTTTTTTTTAAAGGGGGGGGGGTGGAGGTCTGCACTTTGGTTTAGAGGGACTGTTGAACTTTTTTGTGACAAAATAACTTCTCACAGAGACCACCACGAGTTTCTCAATTCGTGAACGCCGGTCGCCGCCGCCGTTGGTCCAGAGCCCCGGACCCTCTCCCTGGATCCGCCACTGAATCCAGTTATCCATTCATTCATTCATTCATTCATTCATTCATTCATTCATTCATTCATTCATTCATTCATTCATTCATTCATTTATTCATTCATTCATCTATTCATTCCTTCATTCAATTAAATCTTTAAGTCCCAAGAGTGACATTCATTCATTCATTCATTCATTCATTCATTCATTCATTCATTCATTCATTCATTCATTCATTCATTCATTTATTCATTCATTCATCTATTCATTCCTTCATTCAATTAAATCTTTAAGTCCCAAGAGTGACCAACAACGATTTTCTCCTAAAGATATAAATGCATAACGAAGAATTAAAAAGGTTATGAGGATTACTAGGATGGTCAGCTAAAGGAAAATCCTTTGATCTTTTATAGAATTCTCTGTATTAATTCTTCAAGGAAATGTATGAAGATAAGTCTGGAGAATTTGTGTGCGTTATTAATTATCAGTCAGTAACTGCCAGCAAGTTAATTGTAGCAGTCAGTCATGAACCCACTCAATCATATGAGCTGATAAGGTTGTTTTAATGCCAGCTAGTGATAGATCCTCCAGAACGATAAATTTCACTAACACTAAAATCTGGGTCCAGATGCTCGAAGGCCGATTAGCGCTAGACTGAGGTTCAATTTGAATCCGGCCTTTTTTATTATTATTATTCAAAAGCATTTTCTGATCTCGGATAATTTTTCTCAATTCTTTTAAGGTCTTCCAATCATAATATTGTAGACAAAAATAATTAAACCCGTGGCCTGGTCAGGGTTAGCTGATTGTTTTCTTATGTTCTTTCAGCGGATCCACCACAGAAAAATACTCGCAAGATTCATAAAGACGCATCCAAACTGAACCTTAAAACACACCAAGACAAGCCAGCGCCTGCTCCGGCTAGACGCCCTGCTCAGGTCCAGAGACCCGCTGTCGCACCTCGTCCCGCGTATCCAGGGTACCAGCATGCTCAGAGGTACCAGCCGTATTATCAGCACCCGCACAACACCGCCCAAGCTGGAATGCCACCCATGTCCCCTATGGGCGGAGCATGTCTACAACAATGTTGGAAGAAGTGCACACCAATATGTATCCAACACAGATGTTGTCTGCCAGGCATGAGTAATCCGGGGATGCCACTTCCTCCTCCTCCTCCCGTGTACCCACCACCACCTCCGCTTCCTCCCCCTCCCCCTCCTCCAATGGTATTTTATCCCCCTCCACCACCACCCCCCATGCCTATTTCCTACCCTCAGATGCAGACGTGCCAGCCATCGTGTGCTCCAGCCTGCTGTATGTCTCCCCCGGCCCCGGCTGTTCCTGTTCCTGCTCCTGCTCCTGCCCCACAACCTAAACCAGCACCTCCTAGGCCAGTTGCACCCCGGCCCAGTCCTGCTTGCAACCCTGCTTGCGCTCCACAGTGCTGCATGCCTATGTCTTATTCATATCCTGCGCCTTATCCAATGCCATATCCTGCCCCTCAAGCGCCAAGTTACATGACAATCCCATCCTACAGTCAGAATTTATGTGGCGGATACCCTGGATATCCCGGATACCCCTGCGGGACTGGAAGCCCTGCAACTACCCCCAAACCCATTGCAACGACGCCAAAAAAAGCCTGTGCTCCAATGTGCCTCAAGTTCTGTCTGACAGTCTGCCCTCAGGAATGCTGCAGTGCTAACATAACAGGGGTACAAGTAGTAGCCACTCCAACTCCCTCGTCCTGTCCTGCAAACTGTGCAAAAGTATGCGCAACACCATGTCCTCAGGTAAGGATGAATTATTGATACTTTAACCCAATATCCAAATAGAATAGAATGGAATAGAAAACTTTATTAATGTGTCAGAGCCGTATAGCTTGGGAACAACCCCATACTAATTTGGGGACACAAATTCTCCAGAGTGATCTCCGTGACATTTCCTGGGAGACGTTTTTTGAGAGAACTGATAAAAGATCAAGGCATTTCCCCTTATGTCATCATTCTATTAATCATAACTATAACAAAATTCTCAAATCTGATTGGCTCTCAACTGCCCTGATTTCAGCCTTAAAAGGACAGTTTGATAGGACAGTACGCGTCATGCCTAAGTTATTGGACAGTACGCGCAATCACACGCGCGCTTAAATGGCTTTTTTTTTTCATTGCTAGCGGAAAAATCTTGGAATTTCTTGTGTTTTGATTTAAAAAGAGCCCTAAATATCACTGCTACGCGGTCGTCCGATTTTGTTAATCACTCGTATGACTACAGACCGAACTGGACTCCACTCAGTCCTGTTACCATTACTAATTGACCACTCCAGAAAATACCATAACATACCATAATGCAGGTCACGTAAAGGGTTAAACAAATCGGTCAGTAGCAGGTGGGAATACACGGGCAGGCCGGACCGGTCAATCTAAAAAATAAGATAGGCTTTTTGAAGAGTTTCTTCAAGACTTGTCAATGTTGTGCATACTATTTAACCCTTTACGTCTCAAGAGCAAAAGACCGAAATAATCTTCTCCCAAAGATAATTTAATGACGGTGACATCTTGGAAAGACATTTAAAACGGCTGTTACGGCAGCATCTACCCACTTCTCCCTGTCATACCATTCTTAATTATAAGTTCACTCGGTTGTATGCCGCAAGTTAGTCTAAGCGTTTTGTGTGAAGCAGAGACAATGAGAGACATCTGCACACAGTTCCCTTAAAGATGTTTAATGCTTACTTAACAGTATACTAATCATTTTCATCAAGAAATTTCAAGTAAAACGGACTTTCCTAACTCAAAACGATTTTTACTTTTTGATAGAGCTGTTGTACATCTGGTACTCAGTCTCCCGTCACAAAACCTTCAGTGGCCCCTACGCCAACAAAAACCTCAGGAACGCGTGAGTACCATCCAGGCTCTTATATTAAGCAGTGGTAGATCAAGGGGAGGGGACCGGGGGTCCGCCCCCCCCCCTTATTTTTAGACCAAACTGAGGCCGAAGGGCTGAAAAAAAGGGTCTGGATAACCAGGCCCCCTTCCCCCCTCCCTCTCAAGTTCTGGAATCGGCAGTGTTTAGGATTATGTTAAACAGTGGAGTATTTTGAGCTTGGTCTACTTCACACCCTCGATTTTCACATCACCTGTTTCGGGTATTGTAAGCCGATGGATTGATTGATCCTGGGTTAAACCTTTCTTGTAATCCGTTCTATGTATAAAAAAAGTTTATTGTATGTGAACGTCAACCAACTTTTACCATTATAATTTAAATTATTTAAGGTTACGGACAACTTTTTTTAAAAAAGAACACGGTCCCTCCTAGAGAAGGGCCTGCCTTGTATAGAGACCAGAAAATGTAGAAAGGAAGCCACTAACTCCAAGCTGTAACGGTAAAGAAACTTTGTATCTGTCGAGGTTTCTAGATAACTGCCCACCTACCGTTCCCCTAAGTCACAGTTTTGCCCTTAGTGAGAATTAAGTGTTAATGGTGACTTAGGGGAGTGGTAGGTAGTCATGAAGTTACCCAGAAACTTTATCTGCTCCGCATGTTTTCTTTTTCATAGCTAAACCAACGCCAAAAGCGACAACACCAGCGCCAGTGACTTGCCAGTCACCCATATGTTCAAGTCCTGAGACGTGTCAACAAACATGTCCCAAACCTGTATGTTGTCAACGATTTAACGACATGGTAGATGGCTGTCTGCCAATCTGTTTTAAGAAATGCGCACAAGTGTGTCCAAGGCGTTGCTGTGGTCCTCATCCGCCATTGGTTAAGCGCATTGGACAACGCATTGGACAACGCATTGGACAACGGCCAAAGTTGAATGACATTTCGTTAAGTGGGTGTCCGAAGATTTGCGCTGATATCTGTGCTCTGGAGTGTCCTCACAGGTGTTGTGGCCCGGGTTCCCTGAAAAGGTCCTTCATACCAAGAAGGACACCTCAGCTAGCTTACATAAAAAATAACTACGCCTATGCAGCAAAGAGGTTTCAGGTGCCTTTATCACGTTACAGTAAGCCACGTGGATTTAGCTTGAAGAAAAAACGGCACGTAATGCACCAATAAGCACTTTTCAATACTCTTGGGTGGTCTTTGCTAATTTTCTGGGGTATTCGTAAGTACTTCGACGACAAAAAAAACTTGAGAAGCAATGAGATTTGCTTAGACAAGTATCACTTTTGGATAACGCGGGTGGATTTCAGTTAAATACCACTTCTTGCTGCCGATACCAACTGGTGATCAACACATTGCCAACCTAAACGTATTACTTTTGTACTGTCCTAGTTGACATCGCCGTCGACTTTGCTTAAGCTCGGTAATGGCCTATACGAGGAGGTTCCGCCCGAAAGGGGTATCTATTTTAGGTTTCAAACATATGAAAGGGCAGGGATTAATATTTGAAGCATATGAAAGGGTAAAGAAATCTGTCATTTCGGTCTCTAAAAGTGACCAAAGGGGCTTACAGATGCATTTTTGGCCAGTGATTAAGTACATAAGACTGCTTTTGTGATTTACCTATATGTTAAAGAAAGTGCATTTTTACAGCAGTTTGAAGGGATGCAAAGTTCTAAACTAGGTAAGCAAAAGCGGTACCGTTTGTTAAAAGAGGGTATATGAAAGGGGTATCTTTTTTGTCATAAATAATAAATAAAAGCATAAGGGGTTGCAGTTCGTGGCGGATCCTCCCCTGAAATTTTCTTAAACACGCCCCGGAAAAAAAGTATATTATGCTATGCATATTATAGTATATACTAACACAAATTCTGCAAATTGCAGCGGGAGTAGGACCAAGGATGCACGTAATTTATCCTACCAATAATAAATACTAGTTTGTTATCATACAATGTCGCATGTGTGCATAATACATTCATCTAGTTTTAATATTTGTAGAAAGAAAGTGTTGGAGCTTGTAAATACTACTGAAAAGGTATCACACAAATTAAGACTGATTGTAATATTGACTAACGTTGTAGTATGAATCAGAAAATAGAATGAAATAAATAATCAACTTAAACATCCTTGAACCTGTGCCTTTCGTAGCCTTGGTCATGCAGAACACGTGCTAGAGTTAGCCAGGTTTGCAAAGTTTACCGAGGAGCCTGGGGTTATACAGGCTTTCTACAAGGGTCCTGAAGGAACTGGCATTTAACCACTGGGAAAGGGATGAATAAATTTGAAAATGGGAGCGGGATTTCTCTTGTTTTAGAGGAGTGCGACCCTATGATTTCATATATCTGAAGAAACGATCCAGCTTTTTGAAATAGAGAAATACAATTCTGAATAAGTAAACCTCAGTTGAAATCCAGAATCACTTTTTTTCCGCTTCCGGGCCTCACTTAGTCTGCTACACATGGCGCGTTCTTCGTGTCTTCAAGCAACGCTCCCTGGAGAGGAACCTAAATTCTAGTTAACAATTTCCACATGGTTCCGTAATTAAGTTCCGTCAGTTTCCTTGCTCAGCCGTTTTTGATGTCGATAAAATGACATGCAAACTGGGAGGAAAAGATCAAACGCTTTTAATTAATTACGTGTATCAATTTGCAAACAGCCACTGGGAATGAGATTTGGACCAAAACGAGGCTAAGCTCTGTGATTTGGTACCCCCACCTCCCCCCGCCCTCCTCATTCTTCAGTACCGTCTTTTACAATGAGCCTGGTTTGAGACCAAAGATATCTTTTCTTGTTTTCTTCTCTTGTTTCTAGTCTTTAAAGGTTGATCATTTTGAGCATTAAGAAAAGCTAAGAATGCTTCATGCTTTAACCAGGATAACAAGGGTGTTTTCGTCGTTAAACAAGACGCTGTGGATCCCACATTGGATGGTCACGCAGTTTGCACGTGAAAGCTTTCGAATTTACCGCTTTCGTGGTTCGTGTATGAGCGAATACGACTTAATCTAATTAACCCAAGGGTTTTAAAAATAGAACGCGGTTTGCACGAGAAGATGTTGGACTCTGCCCCTTTTACGGTTCAACCGTGAAAGAATGCAACTTGTTTACGAGGTCATTTTGCTCAATAAGATTTAAGAAATCACCTCCTTTCCAAAAATTGCAATTAAATTATGCATCATTCAATATTACCCTTAATTATCTCATGCACGAGTTTGATTATTGTCAAACTCTTGACAGTAAGCCAAACCATTCACACCGTGTGCTGCAAGGACTATTATTTTCCAAAGGGAAAATTTTAATTATTTAACAGTCTGTTTCACTCATTTTCGATTGTTTTTTCCAAAAAGTTTATTTTCTTTTGCCGATTTGTTTGCCGTGCGCTATCTGTGGGTCGTATGTAACGAAGATAAACGCTGTGTTGTGACACAGCGCGCCGGCAGACATTCGCGTCGCTTGGCTTGTTTAATGGGCTTGTTTACGTTTGCACGTCTTGCGTGCCTATTGCAACTTTGAATCAAAAACAAGCGAACTCGATTACCCTATTTGGGCGACGCCCAAATAATTAGGAATCTCTCCACCTCTCCTTCTAACTCCTCTCTGCCCCCTCAACCCTACCCCCTCCCCCCAATAAAGCTTTCTCTCCAACGAAATGTTAGGTTTCAACTTTAATTTCTTAAAAAATAAGTAAAAAATGCATAATACCATTGGCATCGTTACACAGCTGTTGCTAGTTGCACGACATGATTATCATGTCCTTAATTTTAGTCTTTGCTTCAAAGGAAACCTTTAGGCGAGCTTCATCATGAGAAAACAACCGACATAACGCGACGCTCGCACAGCCTTCTTGCGTGAAATGACGCCTGGCCCACAAACTCCATACTGATGACGTGTCACTACCTAGATCTGGGTAGTGCCTCTGATTGGTCGCACCTCGTGGGAAATTTTCTTTAACCAATCAAAATCACTACCCAGATCTGGGGTAGCGATACGTCATCATTATGTAATTTCTGCGCTCGTTTTTCAGACGTCATCCATGTCCATCGTTGCCATCTGTTGCAACTGACGACAGGAAACAGTTTCGATGCCTAAATTTAGTAGTAAATAAGATAACTGGAACGTTATTTTCAATTGATTTGCACACATGTTTTAGCTTTTTTAAAGATAACAAATACCGTGATATTAGCTCTGTTTACGATCTTTAATGATAATGTCTTTTAAATAGGCAACGCCTTTGAACTTTGTCTGCAGCATTGCTTCCACTCTCGACAAGAGATNATTTCTTAAAAAATAAGTAAAAAATGCATAATACCATTGGCATCGTTACACAGCTGTTGCTAGTTGCACGACATGATTATCATGTCCTTAATTTTAGTCTTTGCTTCAAAGGAAACCTTTAGGCGAGCTTCATCATGAGAAAACAGCCGACATAACGCGACGCTCGCACAGCCTTCTTGCGTGAAATGACGCCTGGCCCACAAACTCCATACTGATGACGTGTCACTACCTAGATCTGGGTAGTGCCTCTGATTGGTCGTACCTCGTGGGAAATTTTCTTTAACCAATCAAAATCACTACCCAGATCTGGGGTAGCGATACGTCATCATTATGTAATTTCTGCGCTCGTTTTTCAGACGTCATCCATGTCCATCGTTGCCATCTGTTGCAACTGACGACAGGAAACAGTTTCGATGCCTAAATTTAGTAGTAAATAAGATAACTGGAACGTTATTTTCAATTGATTTGCACACATGTTTTAGCTTTTTTAAAGATAACAAATACCGTGATATTAGCTCTGTTTACGATCTTTAATGATAATGTCTTTTAAATAGGCAACGCCTTTGAACTTTGTCTGCAGCATTGCTTCCACTCTCGACAAGAGATAGTTTCTCAGGGGAATTACAGTTGATATCTTTGCCAAGGCACATGGATGGGTTGTCGACCGGTTTGTACCGAAAATATCTATGGTCACCCTCCTCTCTAAGCTCTTGTACAAACAGGAACTCCTCGGGTGTGGTGACACTACATCCTTGATACGTCTGTAAACAAAATTGATTATGTAAAACAGTAATATATAAAGTGTTCAAACAAATCGAAATGGAAATGTCATCTTTTCTGGGGAGGCTCCGCCCGAAAGGCTTGGGCCTTTTCCAGGCTTCAGGTATTTTTATTAATTTTTTTTCAAGTTCATGTATATGATAGAGTAGGATCAGCTCTAGGATGTCACTTGTTGAAGTATACGAAAGGACAGGGAAATGTGTTATTTTGGTCGGTAAAAAGACCCAAGGGCTACTAGATGAATTTTATGGCCGCGAGAACTCGAGAGTACGTTCTGGTTTTGTATTTTATTCATGTTTTGCGTCTCCAACAATTAATGAGTCCATCCTAATCTTTTCCGTGGATGAACTTTCTAGCCACGCCAGTGTTGTCAATATTAAGACGACGGCACCCAGAACTAATTTTTATTTTCATCCAGTTAGTATGGCCCGAGTTTCTGAAATTCTCTCTAATCTAAACGTTCGGAAGCCTGTTGGTCTCGACGGAATACCACCCAAGCTGCTTAAAATTGCCGCTCCAGTCATAGCTGGACCTATGACTAAACTTTTTAATTATTGTATTGATGTAGGCGAGTGGCCATGTCAATGGAAACTTAGTAACGTCACCCCAGTTCATAAGAAGACGACGAAACATCTAAGACGAACTATCGCCCTATTAGTGTCTTATCAGTTATACCCAAGGTGTTTGAGAAACTACAATTTGATCAATTATACAGCGTATTCACACCAGTCTTTTCGGATAATATGTCAAGGTTCCTGCTTGGGCATTCTTGCTGTTCCGCTTTATTAAAGCTAACTGATGATTGGCGCCAGGCTCTTGACAATAAAAACGATGTGGCGGTGATCGCTATTGACCTATCCAAAGCATTTGACTCGATTTGTCATAATTTATTACTAGCAAAACTGAAAGCTTACGGCGTTCACGATTCAGCTATAAAACTGATTCAGTCATATCTATCAGGCCGCTTTCAACGAGTAAAATGTAACGGGAAGGTGTCAGACTGGCTGCCTCTTCGCTGTGGAGTACCGCAAGGGAGTCTTCTAGGTCCGCTTTTTTAAATATCTTTGTGAATGATGTCAATTACTCAGCTGGATCTTCCTCCCTACGTCTGTATGCTGATGACACAACGCAATATATAGCCCATGAGAGCCCCTGCACACTAGAATCTACACTGAATCAAGATACAGAGAGATTAACCCTCTGGTTCACTGCGAATTACCTGCAAGTAAACGCTACTAAAACTCAGGCAATGACGCTGGGGAAATCTCAGTACCCATATAATCTTTTTATTGGTGATAAGTCCATCGAAATTGAACCAACTCTCAAGATTCTTGGCGTTACATTGGATCGAGATTTGTCTTTCAAGCCCCACGTGGCAATCAAGCTGAAAAAAACGTATGCTAAGATAGCCGCACTATGGAGGATTAAGCGCTTGGTTCCTTCGGACGTTCAAGTCATTTCCCTTTATAAAGCCTACGTGTTACCGCATTTAGAATACTGTTGCCCACTACTTCTGGGCATATCTAAGGTCTTGAAAAATAACATCGAACGTACCAATCATTATGCGATCAAGGCAATAATGAATTTAGGTAATTCGGCTACCTATGACTTTTGCCTAGCAATGGCTGATATGGGCAAGCTTGAGCAAAGACGTACCCTGCAATCGCTTATCTTATTTTTTAAATGTTTTAAACTAGATGGCCCTAATTATATTTCCAAATTTTTTACACCTCGGCTAACTAAATACAATCTACGAGACAGTGGATTAAATGTTGTTCAGCCTCCATATAACAGCCTTTGTCATGCACAACTCTTATTTATGCATGATTGCCCACATATGGAATCAATTGCCAACTGCAACCAAATCTTCGAGCACTTTAGCGCAATTTCGTGCTCGCCTTAATAATGTCAATTTCACAGGGTACCAATGCATGAACAGTATATAACTTTACCTATTTTTACATTTTTACATACTCTTGGGCTAGTTTATTTAAGAAATAGACCACACTTTCTATGGGTTTACCGGCGTGATAACCCACTTGGGATGTTGGGAGAACTCGAGAAAAGCTTGTAAATCACGAGCCGAAGGCGAGTGATTTACAAGCTTTTCGAGTGTTCTCCCAACATCCCAAGTGGGTTATCACGCCGGTAAACCCATAGAAAGTGTGGTCTATTGCTTTTATAAAATAACTTCGGGTAGAATGGAGTCTTTTAGGTAAAAAATATGGTTCTAGTACCGTGATCAAGTCACGTCTTCTCTCTAAAGTCATCATAAGCCAATCATGACTCACGATTTAATAGCGTTGAACTTTCTCAAAACTCAGTTCAGTCAAACAACAAACAGCAGCACTTCAAAACACGAGTTTTTGCACTCATTACATGATAACTTATGAAAGCTGTTTTACAGGAACGTACAATGAAAGAATACGTTCATGGTTTGTTTACTACAGAAGTAGAAATTTATTGAACATCAGACTGTACGCAGCTGTATTTTGTTGAGTCGATTCGTAAGAATTTCATTGTTACAGACGGAACTGACAGCTATTGTAATGGAGGACTTCATTCACTTTTTACAAGCCGCAGTGGTTTGAGATCTGTTTTCTGGACTTTATTATGATCAAGAAATGCTGCGGTAACGACGTGGCTGCATTTGCGAAGTTGTCGCATGTAACTTTATATGCACGTACAGCGACCGATGGAAATATGTCAGTGGTGGAGAAAGGTTTCTTTGCCGTAGCCACATATTGGCGTTAATATTTGTCGATTCGTGGAGTCAGGTGGTTTGAGGTAGGTTATGGCATCGATATCACCGAATAATTTGTGCAAATGTTGGAAAAAACCAGCCCGAAACTCTGACATCTTTCATCATCGTTGGCAGCTTGTTTACAACCTACAGCGGCCGATTTTATACCATATCTTGATCAGAGATCTCTTTTTGGAACAATTTCTTTCATTAAGGAATTTAATTTTGACATAAAATAAATCAAGAATGCTAAAACTATCCGTTTTGTTGCTGGTTGGCACATGGTTAAGTTTTCCTAGAGACTTTCTACACCAGAAATTCACACAGTTGTTGTCTTTCTCTCGGATTGGCATCGTCGTGAAATGTAAACTGTTTTCAGCTTTGTACTTTATAACTTCTAAAGCTATGGCAGTAGCGAATTGTGAGGCTCAGTAATAAAATGTGGAAACCGACGCTTTTAACGTTACGAAGGGCTGGGTAAGTAACTTTTTCTGTTTTTTAGCCTTTCTAAAATCGTTGTTTGCAGATCAATTGCCGGTTTTGTTTATGGCTCGTGGTCCGGATGCCTTTTTCGATGGGTTTACTGGTATAATAAACCATAGGTTTTTGACCAATCAGATCACGTGTACTATCTCAGTTATTTTACAAATACATATATAATTATACTGGTATAATTATATTTTTTAATATTTTAATCAGTTTATAATGATTAGTCCGTTTTAAACTATTTTTAATGCATGTTCTTAGGTTTTTTTTAGTGTTTTTTTTTTCAGAAAATAGTTTCTTAAAAAATTTTCCCAAAATTACGATGTTTTTAGGTTTTTCTTAATATTTGTATATACACAATTCACTTTTTATCCTGTTTTGTATTTTTTAGTTTGTCGAGCGTTTTTAACATGAGCCTCTGGCTCGGAAGATTGTGTAAACACTTTCCACGTCTTCGACATTAAATAAATCATTCATTCATTCATTCATACCTTTTCGTTTAAAAATGGTATATATGAATATGTGTATAGGGTATATGAAGGGGTGGAGCCAACCGTATAAAACTTTGTTGTGTACCCCGGGGTTTCGTACTGTGGGCTTACCATTTTCCCCTTATTTAAAGTTATATTCTTGGTCATTGTTCCATATTTCTGCCTAGATTCTATGTTATTCCTTCTTGGTAGTTTTCAGATGTTATTATAGAACGCGGAATTACTTTTATATTAAGTACCTTCAAAACTGTTAGGTACCATCTCTACATTAAGTACAGTTAAACCCCCATTAAGAGGCCACTAGTTTATGAACTACCCTCAATTAAGCGGTCAGTAATCAAAGTCCCAATTCACAAAATAATTGTGGAAAAGAACTGTCAATGAAACCTCTATTGAGCGCCTGTGCCCGGGGTCTTCTTTTAGCCATCCCGGCACCCATTACTGACTTCCATAAGCGGCCAGCAAGCGCTTGATAATCTTAGTTTGGCTTCATTTTGAAAATATAATGAAGTAAAATACATTCAATCATAATGTAAGGGATGATCTTGGGCCAGTAATGCCGCTCCCGTTCCGTGTTTGTTTCAAAATAAAGTATGTTTCTGCTAAAGGTTATTATAATTTATGACAAGCCTTTATTGAGTGAACAATCCACATTAAGCGGCCAATTGCCGGTACCCCGAGGGTGGCCGCTTATTGGAGGTTCCAGGAGAGTACTCCCTATAATGGCCCAAAAGGGGGATTCCCCGCCCAAAAGGGATAGCTTTTTCATGCTTTAGATAAATGAAAGGCTAGGTAAATCTGTAGTTACAAACGGTAAAAAGGCCTAAAACTGGGGCTACAAGATGCTTTTTGTGGCTGTGAGAAAAGTCGAGAAAGCGTTCTGGTTTTTTGTGATTGTTTCATATATTTTAAAGAGGGTGCATTTTACAGCAGTTAAAAGGGAAGCAAAGTTCTAAACTAGGTATGTGAAAGGGGTACCATGATACGAAAGGGGTATCTTTTCCCTCAAAAATGGTATGTAAAAGGGGTTGGGCTAGGGAGTGGAGCCTCCCGGTATAAAACTTTTTCGGGTATTCCCTGGATGAAGATTTAACTGTACTTTAGAACGCTGCATACGATTATGATGTCAACACACCTCAAACACTACTCTACTTTGATTCACCACCTTGAGCGCATACTTTGCACCAGTATCCAGATGGATAAACTGAATACATTTATTTTTGGTTTCCTTTATTTCTACAGGTAAAAGCTGAAATCTTGATTCGGCATTTCCTGCAAAAGAAATGTTTAAATTAATGTGACGGTGATAAAGCTTTACGGTTGGTAATTAATTACAAAATATAGGCAGTAACTAAAGAAAGAGGCAAAAAAAAAAAAACAATCCTAAACGGTAGTGATCGCAAACTGTGAGCAATAAAAAAATTAAACATATATATTTTTGGATATGTTAGTAATCTGTTGTTAAAATACGTAAAATAAACCATACAAATTAATACATAATATATATTTAGCCCTCTTCCACACCTAACCAGAGATTCCCCCCTTTTTTAAAAACGCGTTTACCCGAAGAGTATTCGAGTCCCTTTTTGCCCGTCCACAAGAGCAAAAATATGAAACGATGGAAACACTATAACGTCCTTTACAGAGGATATACTATATGACAAAAGGGAATCCGCTCGTTCTTTTATGCTGGATAGTGTATGATACCAACATGTCACAAAAGCAATGGGGACCTTAAGATCAGACGACAGTGACGACAACGAGAACGTCATAAGAGCAATAGGTTTAAAACGCAAAACTTTGCGCGTGTATCACACCTTTTTGTACAATTCTTTGCCGTTTTTCCAAGTCTACCACGTGAGAAAAGCCTAATTTCATGTTTTATAGAGGACGTAAAGGTGATGTTACATGGGACGATTTTTAACGCAACACGTACAGCGTTAAAACATTGTTGCGACGTCGTTTCGAAAGGCTGCAGCGTTGTTCCAACATTTGAACCCTGTGTTGCGCTAACAATCGTCGTTACGATTCGTCTCGTGTAACATCATGCACCTAAAACAAACAACGACGAAATTTTCTTTCTCTTTCTTAACTTACATAAGGCTCTTAGGAATTCAACTCCAAGAGATGTCACGTACATTCGAGAAAGCTTGCAAGCGAAATGGAATAACCTCGATGAAGATTGAAAAATCAGTTCACTTTTACATGAAGCGACGTTTTACCTGCCGTCGCCGTCCTCGTATCTTAAGAGTGAACTTACACAACAGGACGGGAGAGGTAAGAAGACGGCAAACCGCTTGTATGACACTGAAGCGTGACAATAATTTTGTTTTGAATAACTTTTCGCCAAACTTCAATTTCCTTTAAACTGATCTTTTTGTAAAAGACCCGAAAACATAAATTGCTAAGTGAAGATAACGACAAAACACGTAAGTAATAACCCTGCCACGTTTGTCACAAACGAGAATTTTGCAGCCTCTTATTCCTGCCGTCCTGTTGCGTAATTTCACTAAGGTCTCTAACAAGCCAGCGTTTGCAAGAAAAAACTCCACTCTGTGGACCGTTTTTCGAAAACTTGTATTTTTGGTGCAGGAATGCCTTAAACGGAGAAAAAAAGCTTTCAGTTTTCAGAACAATCAAAATACGTGTGGACGGACACTTGATCAAACAACTTCCTTCTCTATTTTTCTTCTGCGCATGACTGAGATCGTGACAACACGAAGAGAGCGATGAATTGGCGCGCAAAGCTTAGCACCAAATTGACCGATGGCAGACCGGCAACCGGAAAGCGCCATGCCAATCTCATTTGCCAGACGTTTTATATTTCCTTTGCGTCTGATCTGCCACAAGCCTAGGTTATAATTTACTCAACATATCCGGCTACCAGCACGATTGTATTATGGCTGATACATTTTTTATCTACAAAAAATGATTATGCTATCCCTAGGTTTGTGAAAAGCAATCGGCCTTTAAGTTGCCATTATGCTATATCAACCTCTAATTCGATGTGCCAATTCAAAACATATACTACACAGCTAAAGCGTAAAATGTCTTACCAAAACATCTAAAACAACTTTAACATCACTAATAATTTCAAAACTCAAGTACATAAGTCGCTCATTAAGATCTAAAGACCAAACAGGCATATCTTGACCAATCCACCATTCTTCAACACGTAAATCAATTTAAATTAACGTAATTATCAATCATAAGAGATACATTTAAACCTTGCAGCTTACTTCTCGCCATTTCTTTTAAACTATTTTATTTTACCTTGTTTTGATTTTATCCTAAAAAAAGTATTTTTAAATCTAATAATATCAAAATTAACTAATGAATGCCCACAGTGTAACTTTATTACTTATAGCAACTTGTCATGACGTGATTTTTACGAACAAAACTCTTTCCGTTTACTTTTTTAAGTTACCAGCCTCGACTAGCTCGTTAGCTATTTGCAGGTAATATTAAACATTTTTTTTAAAAAATTGACATTTTAAATAAATGATAAATTTCCATATTCACAGTGTTATCGCTTTTGTACTGGAATGCATATACTCAATTATACTCACGTTAATCTCTTGATTGCTTTGCTCCTTCGCTTAACTGAGACTAATTAGATTTATTTCTAAATAGTTTTCACTTTTGACTCACCCTTACTTGAACCATCGGCTCTGGCCTCGCATTGGGAGCTATTAAGCGAGCTCTTGGTCGCAGAGCAGTCTGCCCGCAAATAGTTGTCGCTCGTAAATCGGCAGGGACCGGCGTAACTTAAACTAACCTTTCTGGACTGGACCTTCACAGCAGACAAGAACGCCACAAGAAACTGCGAATACAAAATTCACTTTTTATCCTGTTTTGTATTTTTTAGTTTGTCGAGCGTTTTTAACATGAGCCTCTGGCTCGGAAGATTGTGTAAACACTTTCCACGTCTTCGACATTAAATAAATCATTCATTCATTCATTCATACCTTTTCGTTTAAAAATGGTATATATGAATATGTGTATAGGGTATATGAAGGGGCGGAGCCAACCGTATAAAACTTTGTTGAGTACCCCGGGGTTTCGTACTGTGGGCTTACCATTTTCCCCTTATTTAAAGTTATATTCTTGGTCATTGTTCCATATTTCTGCCTAGATTCTATGTTATTCCTTCTTGGTAGTTTTCAGATGTTATTATAGAACGCGGAATTACTTTTATATTAAGTACCTTCAAAACTGTTAGGTACCATCTCTACATTAAGTACAGTTAAACCCCCATTAAGAGGCCACTAGTTTATGAACTACCCTCAATTAAGCGGTCAGTAATCAAAGTCCCAATTCACAAAATAATTGTGGAAAAGAACTGTCAATGAAACCTCTATTGAGCGCCTGTGCCCGGGGTCTTCTTTTAGCCATCCCGGCACCCATTACTGACTTCCATAAGCGGCCAGCAAGCGCTTGATAATCTTAGTTTGGCTTCATTTTGAAAATATAATGAAGTAAAATACATTCAATCATAATGTAAGGGATGATCTTGGGCCAGTAATGCCGCTCCCGTTCCGTGTTTGTTTCAAAATAAAGTATGTTTCTGCTAAAGGTTATTATAATTTATGACAAGCCTTTATTGAGTGAACAATCCACATTAAGCGGCCAATTGCCGGTACCCCGAGGGTGGCCGCTTATTGGAGGTTCCAGGAGAGTACTCCCTATAATGGCCCAAAAGGGGGATTCCCCGCCCAAAAGGGATAGCTTTTTCATGCTTTAGATAAATGAAAGGCTAGGTAAATCTGTAGTTACAAACGGTAAAAAGGCCTAAAACTGGGGCTACAAGATGCTTTTTGTGGCTGTGAGAAAAGTCGAGAAAGCGTTCTGGTTTTTTGTGATTGTTTCATATATTTTAAAGAGGGTGCATTTTACAGCAGTTAAAAGGGAAGCAAAGTTCTAAACTAGGTATGTGAAAGGGGTACCATGATACGAAAGGGGTATCTTTTCCCTCAAAAATGGTATGTAAAAGGGGTTGGGCTAGGGAGTGGAGCCTCCCGGTATA